GATTTATGCGAGATACTTGGAGTGGTCACCTCCATGGCGACAGCGAGAAGATGGGGGAGGAAGCAGTACAGAGTTGACATTGAATGTGGCACAGTTTCAGTTTGGGAGGATGAACAGTTCTGGACATAAATTACAAGTGATTGTTGTACAGTTTTGTAACTGAACTTAGTCTCACTGAATTGTATTCTTAAAATGGTTAAAATGATAGATTTTATGTTTTGTATATTTTATCACATTAAAACAAAGACTAGGAATTTTTTTTTTTTTTTTTTTTTTGTCTTTTTCCTTTTTATTGGTACCAGGGATTGAACTCACGACTGCCTGCTTGCCAGGCAGGCGCTTATGCCGCTGAGTTAAACCCCCAGCCCCCAAGACAGGAATTTAAAACTCGCACAATATTATATTTCCCATTCTTAAATAGAATCAGCTTTAAAGCAATTTCCATACCATTTACCCATTTTGGCTAATTTCTGCTAAATTTACACATTAAAATGTTTGAGTCAAATCCACATGTACGGGTGAAACTTGCTTTACCACCCTAATCAAACAAACATTTGGAACAGCTAGAATAGCTTTGCATGACATAATGAATTCAATAAATTCCAAACCCTCATGTGTTATTTAATTTTAATAAATGCTATTACACACTGCAAAACTGACAACATGCCTAACTCGTGAACATAGTGAATGAACCAGTCACAAAAGACTACGTAGTGTATGATTAAATTTCCATGAAATGCCTTGGACACTTACAAGGTAGAAAGTAGACCAAGGTGGTTTAGAGCTAGAGCAGGTCATGAAACAGGAAGTAGTGGAGCATTTCTGCTGATGAGGACAGAATTTGTCTAGGGGAGAGATGAAACTGTTCCAAAAGTAGATCATGACAGTAGTTGTACAACTCTATGTATATATTAGAAAAGGTTATTTGATTATTTTGAAAGAAAAAATTGTATAGTATATAGTATTTTAAATTTTTTCCAAGGAATATGGTTTATTTTCTTTCCTTTTTCTTTGAAATGTTTTTTTACTTTATCACATAACTTAGGTTAGCTGAAAACAACATTGTATTGAATAAATTTATCATTTTAAAAATAATATACTTCATATAAAGCTATCATCTCAGAGGACTTTCTGTTAATAACTATCAGTGTGAGTGTAAATGAATCTGAATGCATATATTAACATATTTACTGAGAGATTTTGCTAAGCTAGTAGTATATTTTTATAAAACCAGCTAGCCTTTGATGATTAACTTGATGACAGCATTACAGTAAAAATGAAATCTAGCAATTCTTTTAAAAATTTTCCCCTTGCTGGGGATTTAGCTCAACGGCATAAGCGCCTGCCTTGCAAGCGCGTGGTCGTGAGTTCGATCCCAGTACCGATAAAAAAAAAAAAGACAAAAAAGAATTTTCCCCTTGCATTTTATTGCTTTTTAACATTAAGCTTTATTTCATTCATTTCAGTTTGGTTTTTCTTTAAAGTTTGGGATAAAAACAATAAGATGATACTATCACTACTTTGTAAGAAGAGAACACCGTGTGTAGCATGGGATAGAATAGTCTTATGGTCTTTTAGCTATTCGCCAACCTCATTCCATAAAATTGACATGTGTATTTTAAACAGCCTTGATACATCAAATTTAAATTATAAAGGACCGCATATTAAAATAGATACTGTTGTCTCCCAAATTCCTCAAATACACATACATAGCAGACACCATACAGATACAACCATACCTGCTTCCTGCTCAGACAGCCCTGCTCATGGCCGCAGTTTGTCTCTCAACTAAGTATTAGCGCCTTTTGCTGTCTGCAATCCTGGACCCCACACAGCATTCACAGAGTGCTTCCATAAGGAAATACCTGTGCCTCCAATCAAAGGCTCCATAGACCTTTAGAAATGCAACCCACATTGAGGCTACCTATAAAGTGTCTTTTAATTTTTACTTTTGTATACATTTACATAATTTCCACTTATGTAACAGTTACATACTTACATATTCACTCATATACATTGTATCTTTATATGATATTTGGTGGCTTTGAGCTACATCTGTAGGCTTTTTTGAAACACACATTCACTTAACTAAAGTGAGGCTTGTACTTGTGATCTTGCTGCCTCAGGCTTCCAGAATTTTGGGATTACACGTGTGTGCCCCCATGCCTAGCTGCTTTTTACCTTCCTGATTTACATGTTTGCCTTCATAGCCAAACTGGACTATTACTAATTCCAAATCTATTTTCTTATCAAAAAGTAAATGTATTTTACTTTTATTGTTGTTATTATTCAGTGAAAACATGTACAAGTACACTATATCCTATTAATATATTCAGTTTTATGTTGATTAAAAATACAGGTTTATAAATCCAAAGAAATAAATATATTTAGATATCTTTTTTATGTACGTTGCTATAGCTGTTACCTGTATCTATACTTAAATGTTTTCTAGTATATAATAAGAGCCATTGTGGAGCTCTAGAGAAAGGTGTAAGATATAATTTCCACCCCTGCAGAGCATTTGGTCTTGGAGATTCATTATCACAGTGCCACGCAGAACCAAGTCAACACTTCAGCAACACCAGGGACAGGTTGCTGAGGAGTCATAGCAGAAGAAAGTTTGGCAAAGTGAAGGGAGCAGAGGTTATTCTTAAGCAAGATGCTGAGCAAAAAAAGTGAACAGAAGAAGAAAAAACAAACTTTGTATATAAATATAAACTTTGTCTCTCTAGGGTACATTACCTCTGTTAAATCATGGTTCTGTTAGTGGCAGAAATACTTTAATTAAGGAGCATGTTTAGTTTTTGTGTTTTGGTGCCTACCATTATACAGTTGCAGTGCCTGTAGGATTAAGCTAACGGTAATTGCTGGTGGGAAGGCTGGCTTTGAGAACCAAAGAAGGAAAAAGCCACCACATTCCTCCTGCTTGTTTGCTATCAGCATTTTAATTTGTGCACTGGCATCACTCACAGCCCAGCTGCCCCTGCTACAGGATCCTGTTTACAGTAGGTGGCCACCCTGAGTATTTCCAAGAGAAGCTGCTCTGTCCTCGGGCTCTGAGTCTGGGGAGGTACCCCAGGTTTATGTCATACAGGTCAACAAAGGGTGTCTCGCCTTCACATGGTCATTAGAAAATTTATTGAAAAGTTTTTCTATGAACTGTAAATTCCTATAATCTGTATGAAATTATGTCAACACAAACCATAATTACCTACGAAGGAACAAGATTATCAGGTGTTGTGTAATTTACATCTTGAATGTTCACTACATAGGCATATGCTGGATTATCTTCAAAACTCTTCCAAATATCCCAGCATATCTATAAAGGGCTTAACATTATTATATTTTATATGAGAAATCCAATACATAGAGGCTAACAGCAAAGTTTTATTTTACAAGATGTATGATGCATTATGATGTTATTTCTCACCATAGTAGATACACTTAAAGTTGCTTGAAACTGTGAGTTCTGCCCCTTAGTACAATTATATTTATTAAATGTTTTTGAGAATCTTGAAAACCCTGTAAATCAGAGAATTATAGCTGATAACAAGCATGTTTACTATAGAGTACAATGATAAGGGCTGTTCTGCCTCATACACAGTACATCTTGAGTAAGAAGAGGAGCATCCTGTTAAGTACCCAGTTTAGAAAGTATACTTAAGTATTGAAATTCATTCATTCTGATTCATTTTCTCTTTTTCCTCTCTGTCTCTGTGTCCCGTTTCTACTACACATTAAATTTTAACTCCATTTCCACTGTCATATGAGAGAAGGTATAAAGGATAGCTATTAAGTAATTTTATTTGGTAGTCTGAATTTCTTAGTGAAAAAAATTTTATTTTAAACAAGTAAACTACTACTATGGGGTGACAGATAAGAGTTCATTTCTGTGTGTCCACTTTAGCAAAAATGCTAACGTTTAAGTCAGTGAAAAGAAAGCGGAGAATCAAAAGGCGAGGTGGATCTATGTACATGACTGACTCTTAAAATAATTAAAGAGGTAACTGTATGGAATTGGCAGGTTCTTTGATTCCACAAGATCCCTCAAAATATGATTTTAAGGATGAAATGAGATATCAGATGAGAAAGGTCACTGGACACGTGCAAGTTATTGAAGAGTAGCTTCTTCTTGATGTTTTTATCACTAGTGTTGGTTCTCTTCTCCCCCTCCTCTTCTTTGGTCTTCCCTCTCCCTGTGTCTCCTTGATGGATTACCTGACAGCTTGTACCAGGGAAAGATTAAATTGATCACTTTTCCTCTTGATTGCAAAAATGACTGATACCCTACTTTACCTTTGCCACTCTTTTGTATCCTCAAAGGAGTTTTTGAAACACCATGTTTCCCAGTTTGTTTCACTCAGATTTTCTTTTTTTGACTTTCTATCATAAATTCTTCCCTTCGGCTCCTCCTTGCATGGGCAAATTGGCAGTCTTCATTATCTGGTCATGTGACTTTTGCATACTAAATACTCCAAAACATATGTGACCAGCAATTAACTGAAATGAGAAGAAAGAAACAGTGAGCTGTGGTCTGTGGGTTTCTTTTTGTCTTGAAGTATTTACTTTAAAAAGTGTTGACTTAATCTAAACTTGAAACTTTCCCTATTCAAGCACACAGAATGATAAGGTCTCTGTTGTTCGTTTCAACACTGCGATTCTTCTGCTAATGTAACAAGAAAACTTGGAGGTGAAGAAGGACAATGTTTATTTTGAAGTACTGAAAGATCTTTTTGCTCATTCGACATTACTTGATGTTATTTTTGTTTTGTCATTTAAGAGACACAAGGAACATGAGATAATTCTAGGGAATCCAAGGGAAGGGATACTGAACACCAAGTGTCATCCTAGAATTTTGCAGTTGAAGCTCACTTCAGAGCTTTGATGATGCCTCTGTTTTCAGCGATGTCTGTTTGCTTGTAATTGTAAGTGTTGATCCAAGGGAAACCATTCCCTGATTTATTAAAGCAATGAATGCTTTCTCCTTCCATTTCTTTCAGGAAATGGCGAAAATCCTCAATCATCCTCGGGTCTACGCTTTCCTGCACATCCCCGTCCAGTCTGCCTCTGACAGTGTGCTCATGGACATGAAAAGAGAATACTGCGTGGCTGACTTCAAAAGAGTAGTGGATTTTCTGAAAGAGAAGTAAGTCTTTTAGTACTTAAGAAAATAACCATTGCTTTTTTTCCTCTCTCGAAAGTGTGTGGCAACAACGCACTTACTGCCGCCTCACAATTAAAGGTACAAGAGAGAAGGTGAGACTTAGGAAGTTTTCAAAGCCTGTCAGCTTCCTCAGGCACCCTTGATGTGGTTTTTTCTCTTAGCTTATTTCCTCCTCCACCTGTGCACTGCACACCATTCATTTGTGTGAGCTTGCAATGCTTTCGAAGGCACGGTGAATTGTGATTATTTTTATACCTCATCTTTTAGATGAAAACTGTTTGGTCTGCTTTAAATCTTCTTTAATGTGGCTTTTTGAAACTCTCAGCTGGTCTTCACATGGAAGTAAGGGCCAGGTCTTGTCACTACAAAATAGATAATTTTCTACTGATGAGCCTTTTTGCAGAGGACCGAGGAATGTCTTTCGTTTCATACACTAATCCCTGTAGTTTACTTGAACACTTGTGATTTACCAGGAGGCTTGAGGATTCTATTTTTTTCAAGTCCAAATCACTATTGACCAAAATTAAGGCATATTTACACAGACCCAGGCATGAATGGTAATTTTGTTTCCACAGAAAACACTTGCAGCACCTAATTATGTTCTTCAAAATGCTACTCATCATCACCAAACACGGGATGCCTTCTGTGATTACACAAGGCAGGAAGTAGAGATGCCAGCCAAGGTCACACAGACCTTCAAGTCTAGGGCATTGTTATCCCCCCTGGGAATGTGTCATTTATCTAGGCATATTTGTGGCATGGGCCTTCCTACTTTCCATTTTATTTTCTCTGTTGTTTTTCTTGATTAGGATTCAACTTTTCGTTTCCATCTTCTTGTTTATAATTATGTACCTTTGTACCATGTCGAAGTATTACATGGATGTGATTGCTTTATACAAATTGTAAGCAATTATTTTTTCCACCTTTAATTAGTCACTTATCCAGTGCATGCAATTGTTGTAAAATCTTTTTAGTCTTCTATTTACTTTTTCTTCTTTTCTCATCTTTTCTTTAATCTTTTCTTTCACCTCTAGGCATTTCTTGATTAATCTAACCACCAGAAATAAGGACCCTTAATGTGCATTCAGACAAATACGGCTAATTGTTCAAATATTCAAATCAGCAAATAGAAAATATATTTATTCTGAGATTTCATAATTACAATCATTAAATATATACAGCCTTCAAAGCAGAGAACAGAATAACAACAGATCTTTTCCAGTTCTGAGACGCTTGGATCTTGAGCAGAACTGGTCAAGGCGTTTTTGTGTCTGTCTTTTGCTGACCCATATACCTTCCATGCAATTGTTTAGCTTTTGTAGGCAAAGTTGTATGCTATAAGAATCCTTTATGCTATGTCTTTGGAGAAGAAAATATTTCAAAATTATAAATCAATTGTCAAAGCTGGAAAATTTCTTCTCTTGCATATTAAATCAATAGCAAATAATACACATACTTCAGGTCATGCAATATTTTGTCAAGTGTGGATCTGCATTGTGTCATGCAGAATAAAGGATGCTTTCCAGACCATGGCCATAATGTGATTACATGGGGTTAGGCAATCAGCACCTCTCTTTTTCTTGCATTTGGATGAGTGCCGACTCGATTGTTTGCAGAATCACTGTGGCTAGCTTACCTGCGCAACAGTTTAACAAATGCCAGCCATTCATTGCTCCTAAGAGGGATCTCTCAAATCTTTTGCCTCTTGAACAGTCATGTCCATGAGCTGTGTAGAAGTCAAACAATGGTCACATCAAGTTATTAGAAAATAATCTCTTGCCACTATTGCGGACTAAGCACGGAGACCTTTCTTTGAATTCTGGGTAGCTTTGCTTGACTTGACTATCTGGAGGTCCTAGAGCAAATACTACACCCACTGGCCTCCAGTGTTTCTAATACCACAAATCCCAAAAATCGCTGGAGGAGATATAGGGAGTGCCCGCTCAGACACCCCATCTCACATTCTTCTATCCATAATTTGTTTGAAGGTCTGTGAGATCCTGGAATATGGAGTATGACTCTGGCCAGTTAGCCATCTCCAGAGTATTTTTAAATTAATTGTGCTATGTGTGCAGCAAGGATAGATGCAACCTACTATCTAAGTTCACATTAATAGCTAAGATGTATTCTAAAAGTGTGGAAGTTGGCAGCTATTTTATATAGCAGATAAATGAGAAAATTCCAGCTACCCTATTTATATCCCTGGGATCACATTTTAAGTGATAATTTGACTCTTAGATACTTCATTAGAAATACAAGATTATGCATTTAGTCTATCCTGTTGCTTGTGAAGATTAGTATGCCCATGAGGACAGTACAACCCAGCTCTGTAGTTTAGTGACAAGAAATTTTTCTATCCTGTCGAGGAAGACCATCCATCAAGTGTATAACTTTCTTTTTTTTTTTTAATTTTATTTAAGGAGAAAAAAAAAGCAGAGAAAAGGTACAAGCTATACAGATTTACAGAAAAAAAAATAAACAGTAGGAAATCACTAGTTAATGGATTACACATCGTCATCTTAGAAATAATTGTTCAAGTCACAAAATTAAAGCTTGTAAAGTGGACATTCCAACAGTGAGGCTGCAAACAGTTCTGTTCAATGATCCAACAAAACTCAGTGATATCATTATGTATGTTATACATTTATATATACATGCAGTTATATCGTTTAGAGCACTTTCTTTTCCTCTCTTTTGTACAATGACAATTACACATTTTGGGTTTTGTTGCTCCCACAGTTCTTATTACTTTTTTGGAAGGGAGTAGAACCAAATGTGACATAGCAGAACAGAGTCAATCAAATCAAAAGGGTGGACATAATAGATAATGTAAAAGCATAATACAAGGTGATCAACAATGGTTACCATAATGCCTCCCACTATCTCTAATAGAATTGCCTATATCATCAGTTATAATAAAATTGAACAAAACATTAAAGAACAAAACCGACAAAACGAAAACATTGGAGACATTATAGGTCTTCAAAAGTAGATAATAGTCAACAAGAATGGGCGTTATAATGAATCTCACTATCTTCACAGCTGTTGCTTAAACTTTCGAACCTGGTACTATCAAGCAAAACAGAATGGGGGACATCAGTCAAAAACAAGATCGTGAGAGTAATACAGGGCTTTAAATCAAGATAATGGAAAGTCAAAGTGGGTTTCTATAATATATCCTGCTATTTTTTATTTATTTTTCCCTTAATTAAAAGGATAAAAATAAAAAAGTAAATAATGAATTGGAGATTGAGATAAAAGAGGGCATAACAGCAAAACAGCGCAGATCAAAACATAACCATTTAAGCAGAATAGTGTTTCACCACAAGATAATCCTGACATAAAAGTAGTTACCATATTGTCTCTTTCCTTGAAATATTTGAGTATAACTTTGTATATTGTAGCATCAAATATATCAAAACAATGTAAAACCATTTAAGAGAATGACAGCATTACAGGGTATTTAGAATCAACCAATAGAAAACAAACAATGGTTTCTGTATAATCTCCTTGTCTTTAAAAGTTTTTGCTTATACTATCATACATAATAAAATCCAATAAGATACAACCTGTTTAGACCAATGGAGACAGCAGAACAAAAGCTTGATGAGACTTCAAAACAAGATGATACTAAATCAGTATTACCTATTAAGACATCATTTTCTCCAAAATAGCTGTTCCTATCATCCAATCTTCTCTGCCTCATTTCTGTTGAGCTCTTTTTCTGTCACTAGTTGTCAGTTTGTCTTCTTCATTTTGTTTTCTGCTCCATTCATTGTGGCCTCTCTGCCACTATTTCTGGATTCTTTGTATTTTTGTTTTTTAGAATATCCTGTAGTATTCTTTGTAGAGTTGAATTGGTGGTTGCATATTCCCCTAGTTCCTCTTTATCCTGGAAGCACCTTGTTTTTCCATCAATTTCCAGGGACAGTTGTGCAGGATATATCAATCTTGGCTGGAGATTATTATCTTTCAAAGCTTGAATTATTTCCCCCCACGCTCTTCGTGATTTGATGGTTTGTGCAGAGAAATCTGCTGTAATTCTGATGGGTATTCCCTTGTAAGTCGTCTGTTTCTTCTCTCTGACAGCTTTTAATATTCTGTTCTTGTATTGAATTTCTGGAATTTTAATTATTATATGCCTGGGTGTTGCTCTGTTTGGGTTGTAGGTGGCTGGGGTCCTGTATGCTTCATACAACTGAGTATCTTTACCTTTTGCTAAATTAGGAAAATTCTCCTGGATTATTTCTGTGAGTAGCTTTTGTAGTTCATTTGTTTGTGTCCCTACTTCTTCTTTTATGTTCTTAATTCTTAAGTTATGGACCCTCTTAGCCGCTGCGTGGCAGGAAACCCAAATCGCGGCTTCCAATGGCGCGGGCTCCAACTTCCACATTGAGGCTTTTCTGTTCCTGTTATAGCACCAGGATTCCACTCCAAGTTGGTTGCTCTCAGCCTAGTTCGTTCTTGGGTCAGGAGGGCATATCTCCACCTGCTCAAGACTCCTTACTCCACACCATTCCTGAATTCCAAGCTGGTTCTTTCAGAGAGCCTCCATAGCTGCTGCTCTCTGTCTGCCATGTTCTCCTGGAAGTCTCAAGTGTATAACTTTCAATCATTATGGATGCTTAATAGAAATGCATGAAATATTTTAAGGAGACTTCGGTTCTTTATTATGCTTATTTTTTCACTATAAAAACTAATCAAACTTTTTGCCAAATAGATGAGTGCTTATTTGTGTGTGTGTGTGTTTCCTTTTTATCGGTGGTACCGGGGATCAATCTCACGACTGCCTGCTTGCAAGGCAGGTGCTTATGCCGCTGAGCTAAATCCGCGGCCCCTGATGAGTGCTTATTTTAGAAATTTCAAAGTTTCAGTACTTTCTATAGGACCAGTAACCTGGTTAACTGACAGATTGTTTTGTCCAGCATTTATAAAATTCAACACAACATTTTCATTCTTTGAAAGCCTTACACTTACGCTGA